TTTTTTTTGTCACATTTGTATGTGGCGTATAGTTATTGGTGCACAATGCGATTTTCAGATCTTAAAGCAATCGGTCGGCGCATCGAACATACTATGAGATATAAGAGAAACATTAAGAAGGGAAGACTCGTGCTACGCTCGTCATACAATTGAGAAAGTCACCATTCGAATTAACTCGAGAAAAGCCAAAAAAAAACACATGTTTTTGTAATTTAGAATAATACGCGAAATTGAAGTCATAGGTATTTGGTGATACGTCATTATTTTTTAGTATAATTTAGTAACAATCGTTTAATTAATTAACGTACTTAAATTAAAATTTAAGATGTGATGTTTAGTTAAAGGATATTATTATCGGTATTATACTTGAAATAATAACTATCATTATTATTTCAAGTTATATAATTATTCTTCTATACAACTTGAACTAAACATTGAAGAATCGTGCAGTGCAACTCAGATTCTTTTGGAAAATGATAAATTTTTGACGACGCGATATAAAAAGAAGAAAAGAAGATTTTATCTTTCCGCAATTAACGACAGCTACGTTCTAAAACGCACGAGATGTTCCATTTTTTTTATTTTATAAAAGGGATATTGAACGCGAGCGAGAGTAGGGAACACGGTGTTGTTCTTCTTTTTAGAGTTAGCGGGTGAATACGTGCACCAGTGGATGCGAGTTGTCTCATTCGCCTACAGGGATCGATATTCAAAGTGTGTTCTAAGCCTTTTTTAAACGCGACTTGGTTTTCTGCAAGGTAGACCGAAGAGCTAAGGGGCTGCTCGCGTTATTTCTGTTACTTTCTACATGACTATATATTGTTTTCGATATTTTTTTTCCTTTGGAGTTTTTAACGCTCCAATGAAGTTTCGTTTCCAACGTGAAAAAAAGTCATCATAGGTAGCCCCAACGTTTAAAAAAAGAAAAAGAAAAAGAAAAAAAAAGAAAAAAACATGTACGTGATAGGAGCCTGAGGAATGCGTGAGAGTCATTCGTAGTCGATGCGGCTAATTATTGTGCTTTGTACTTGGAATTTAGTGAACAACTAAATAGCGTATAGAAAAATTTTATTGTTCTTTTTTTTTTTTCTTTTTTGATAAAAATTTTAGTGAAGGCCGAGTATGGAAGAGGAACGTTTTGAAGTGAGATTTCTTTTTCACAGTAGTGGAATCATTGTGTAATTTTGACGTATATTATGAATTAAAAATATAAGCGATGATGTTTAAGGCTCGAGTGCCAAAAAACGACGAAACGAGAAAAATTATAAAATATACCGAAGATTCTCACGTATTCAATCGACTTCGAAGATACTTACCTATTCTACCTAAAAGTACGCACTCTCTTCTTTAAAAATCAGTAGTCTTTCTTCCTAGTTGTTTGATGTTTCTTTTTTAAACGCAGATTAGCTAGGTCGGCTAACAAAGTTATTATTTAATTGAAATGAAAGGCTTGTCTGCGGCGTTCGAATTTTTGTAAGCGGGTTAAAAATTGTGCTTTGATCGAAACAGTTACCACATAGCGACTGGGGATTTCTCGATCAACATCTTTGGGATAACTATCCGTGTATAATTATCTGAACTGATTAATTTGTAACATCTAAGAATTAGTACACGAGTACGTCCTCTCCGTGTAAGTACAGTAAGATCGTCCAAGTTTTCTTTGAATCCGCGTCAAGTTGTACAGTAACCATGTGGGAACTGGATTCTACCAAAGTTCACGAAGGAAGTAAATAGTTGACTCAATTTCAAAGTACAAATTGAATATCCATGTAAGTAGAGGGAAAGTTCGTAACGACGGGGTCAAGCCTTATGTCAGCCATATTAGGCAAAGTTGCGGTGATGATACGGTAAGCAACGCAGCGAGTTCGTAACGCCTACCATTTAATATACGGTGCAGAGAATGTTGTTAACAACTACTATTTTCTGAGAAACTTGAGATCCATTTCAAAGAACAAAGAGACACGCAGAAATTTTGAAGATCGTGAAAAAAAAAGAAAAGGAATAGCTAGTTGCACACAGCTACGAAAACGACTGTTTTGCTCCGCGATCATAGGCATATAGTACGGTGAACCTGCTGATAGGATACCTGGAATGTTCCATTCTGCAGGTGCACAATTAAACACGATATTAATTAAGCAATGAAGATCGAAGAAACTAATTTACAATCGGTGATAGCTTAGGATAGGACCAAGAAATGCAGTTCTATTTAGAATTTTTCGAATGGGTGTTCCGGCAAACTTGACCAGTACTCTTATATGTTTCGCATTGGGCTTCAAACAAGAATGGGTATTTAAAAATACTTGTCCATGATGTTTAAAAGAAAAGAGAAAGAAAATAACTTTTTGCTCCTTAAAGGAGAGTAAAATATGTTAATTGACGGTGAATCAAAGTGATTTTTATTCTGCCTTAAGAGCTTTGTTAGTTGAATTTTTATGAATATGAAGTTTATTACTGCATGAAAGGATTTCAAAAATAAATTTGTCCGACATTTTCGATTTTGCACAGTTAAAAGAAACGCAGGAACTTCCTATATATATATATAAAAAGAAAATTAACCGCTGTTCTTTGTATTTTGTGATATATCTGAATATACCTCAAAATCTAAAGCAGAATATGTAGGTACTTGTCTTGTTTCGTACCATTGTCGAATCTAATTGAGTTTCTACGAAAAGGAAAGAAGAAAAAAGAGCATAATGCGCGAACAATTGGAATTCAAATTTTTTTTATAAAGGCGAAACGCACTGGCCAAATTTGTTGCCACAGCGCCATAACTTACATTCACCTTGTACCTTCAATTCTTTTTCTACCAGATGTACCTACAGTTATTCACATATGACCAGCGTTTGATAAAGAAGCGCGTAATCTCAATCTTATTAAAAGGAAAAAAATCTAGTCCGAAGAGTCTGATTGATTGGGATATAAAATGTTACATAGACCTTTTTTCTCAATCCGTGCGACGCCACGTGCAGAATGAATACCGCAGCATTCACTTATAGACATCTCTAAGAAAATTGACATTTTCAAAAGAAAAAGAACTCATGCCATTCCATTTGACGACATTGAGTCATAATCGACACATGTACGAGTCGCATTTAGGAATTTGAGACGCGTATTAAAAAAAAAAAAAAAAAAAATGAATAAAAAAGACAAAAAAAAAGTTGAAACAAGCGAGAAGTTGTGTCGTTACTTGAAATGTAATCACTCTCGTCGAGAATTTTTGCGAGTTTGCATATCAGCGAAGGGCTGTTCATTTGCAAAAGGAAAAAACAATTTGCACTTCGCTCATATTTACATTGCGCAAAAAAGTGCACCTTAATCTTTCCAGCTACGATAAGAATTGAAGATGAACAATGATTCTTTCAGAAACAGAAAAACAAAAAAGAAAACTAACAAGCCCAATGGCTAGTTTTATAGAAACTTGTACACTTGAAGAAACAAATGAATTATGTTTTGTTAATATTTATATTTAAATTATCATTATTGAAACGGTTTATTCACAGATTATCAATAGTTTAGAACAAAATTTACGCAATATATTTTGACCGATTATTTTGTATTGAGCGAGAGTGGCGGAAAGGTTTTATATCATTAAAAAAAAGTGTGCAATAAGCGTAAGTCTATTGTAACAATAAAGAAATGATATTAATTGCAACAGTGAATTTGTTATTACGTTAAAAAACGAAATAGAAAGGCTGAGAGGGAGAGGGAGTGAGAGTGAGAGAAAAAGAGAAATGAAAATGTATCACTGCAATCATCAAGTGTATTAATGAATAAATACAATAATCATAAAATTTTTGACTCTCTACTTTTCTTTTTGTACAAAATATAATTTATACAAAGATGCTTTTTACATGCAAATGCAATTCAAATGCGTATTATTGAAATGGACATCTTTATGAAGTAATTAAATAAACGAAAAACAAATGTATATAAATTTTATGTAATACACAAAGTATTGGCAGTATAATGCAAAATAATTTCAATTTTGTATTTGCAGTAAGTTTTATTTATGTGAACGAAGATACTTTTTCTCAGATAAAACATTTTTCATTGTTTTTTGTAAAATAGGCAATGTGTCGCAATAGTGATCCACACATTTTTTTACACACTGGTCAAATATTTCACTATATTTTTCCACATCACGCTGTGATGGATTTGGTCCCGCTGCATCTTTTATTCTATCATTACAATCCATAACACACCTTTGCAACCGATTCTATAAAATGGTAATCAAATTAGATATTCTGTTAGTTTTCAGACATTTTATTTAGAAAATGATAGACAACGAAACATACTTGAACCCTTTCCAGTTCTTCTCTAGCATATTCTTGAGCTTCGTCCAAAGAACTATTGCAGTTTTTTACACAGTTTTGAACTCGTTGTATACTATAAGTTTCGTTATCACAACAAGTCGCAGCACATCTGTACGCTTCACCCTAAAATTTTAACATGAAAAATCTTCTTACTATCCAATCCACTAAGCTCATCATCTTTTACAAATTATAAATTCACGTATCACATCTACATAATTTCATTCAATAGTTACAACACGCGTTTCGCGATATAACCTAAGAATACTGTAAATTCAAAGCACCTTCATCTTTCTCATTGATCTATCAATTTCTTCTACTATTCTGCTAGTATGCTCCTCAACTCGTTTCTGTTGTTCCTCGACCATTTTTTATCTGCTTTTCTAAAGATTTATCAATATCAAGTTAGAATTTAACCGGCTTCTTGTACAGAACTGTACAACCACAACTCATGCCATATGATCTAGCGAATAGAATACAAATATAAGTCGAGTTGTTAATAAAATACAGTGCGTATAATTACATAATAATAAATCGAGCTCTTCATTAAGCGAATAGTTTCATCCAATCGTATTGTAACTTAGAAAAAGGAAAATGGGAAACAGTAATTTTTTTAAGAACACGGCTTAAAAATAGGACAATTTGATAATGAAAGTGCGCTAGAGATATGCGCAGTAGTAGAATTTCACGTGTGCGCATACGCCGTTAATGCAGGGTACAGTCCGTACGAGTACGAGTCGGAGAGCATTCCGGTCGCTCTTCTTCACTTGGCCGGTGTAAAATGTTGAACGTCGTGTCGAAAGCAGCTGCTGGTGCCTTAAGGGCCGTCAAACCTACCCTTCTTCAAAATGAAGTTGCTAAAATTTCCGGTGCATTGTCAGTAAATAGTGAGTACTAAAACAAAACAAGAAAATACTCTAACTTTCATTGATATTCGTTTTTATACGGTTCACAACACTCTACTTTGTCAGATTCTATTCTAAACGATATCTGTTACTCATTACTATTTCGCATAGTTTGTTATTCTTTTTTTTTTATATATATATATCTCAATGAAAAGTAATTCTTCCTTGCTCAATTGACGTCTAAATATTAAGAGAAGGATGTATTTTATTGATTATATAATACATATTATTTGATGAAATCGTAATGGTAACTCCACTGTGCAACATGGCGGCATTAAGGTCATCGATTAATTTTTGACTACACTGAAATAATTTACAGTAGGACTGCAGTCATTCGTTTGACTATTACTTAAATTTTATTCGAATTTTAGTTATGTTTCACTGTTCATTGTTATAAAGAATAATTTTTTTTCGGTTTTCTTGACTACTTTCGTTTGGGCCTTGTGCAGTAGTAATCTTCGTGTCTTTCGATACATTGGTTTAAACAGTTACATTTAAACAGTAAATAGTACTTAGTATGAGATTTAGATTTGAAAGAAAAAGTAATGAAGAATGTTAAATATTTAGATTTTCTGTGAAGCATACACATGTAGTTTGTATTATATAACTTACCTTTCAGAAGCATTATCTAATATTATTTAAATATTTTAAAGATTAATTACGATCTTTTTGTATTATTATCAAATTTATGAGATATTGCAATATAAACAATATCTTATATGTATAATATAGCCAATTATAAAGCAAGTATTTAAAGTAATTTTTTACAATTAGGCAGAGATTATGCAAAAGCTGCAAGTTCCAAGGGTGGTGCTCAAGGAAAGGTCGTTGCTGTCATTGGTGCAGTTGTTGATGTACAATTTGATGATGCCCTCCCTCCGATTCTCAATTCTTTGGAGGTCCAAAATCGCACTCCCAGGCTAGTTCTTGAAGTAGCTCAGCATTTGGGAGAAAATACAGTGCGCACTATTGCTATGGATGGTAATTTCATGTTTTAATATTGAAAATATAGAGGACATTTCATATAAATAGTGTATTAAAATGCACTTTTATTAAAATGCAATTATGTTGTATAGGTACTGAAGGTCTGGTTCGTGGACAAACTGTCTTGGATTCTGGATATCCAATTCGTATTCCTGTTGGTGCTGAGACATTGGGTCGCATTATTAATGTCATTGGTGAACCAATTGATGAGCGTGGACCTATTCCAACTGATAAACTTGCTCCCATTCATGCAGATGCTCCTGAATTTGTAGATATGTCTGTCGAACAGGAGATTTTGGTAACAGGAATAAAAGTTGTGGATCTTCTTGCACCTTATGCTAAAGGAGGAAAAATTGGTAAAATTTATTATTCGCAAATCAATTTAGACGATCAATCAAAAAGATATTATTATTTATAATAGTATGTGGTATGCAACCTCTTGTTTAATTAATAGGTTTATTTGGCGGTGCTGGCGTCGGAAAAACTGTATTGATTATGGAACTAATCAATAATGTAGCAAAGGCCCATGGTGGTTACTCGGTCTTTGCCGGTGTGGGTGAACGAACCCGTGAAGGCAATGACTTGTACCATGAAATGATTGAATCTGGTGTCATTTCGTTGAAAGATAAAACTTCTAAAGTAGCTCTGGTATATGGTCAAATGAATGAACCGCCAGGCGCTCGTGCTCGTGTCGCTTTGACTGGTTTAACCGTCGCCGAATATTTCCGAGATCAAGAAGGACAGGATGTACTATTGTTCATTGATAACATCTTCAGGTTTACTCAAGCTGGTTCTGAGGTATATATTATAATTTAAACATAAATATTGTTATTTTCGTTATTTTTATTAAAAATTGCTCTATTTTATAGGTATCGGCCTTGTTAGGTCGTATTCCATCCGCTGTAGGTTATCAGCCAACATTGGCAACTGATATGGGTAGCATGCAGGAACGTATTACGACAACAAAGAAAGGATCCATCACATCTGTGCAGGCTATTTACGTACCTGCCGATGATTTGACAGATCCTGCTCCTGCCACCACTTTCGCTCACTTGGATGCTACAACTGTATTATCTCGAGCTATTGCTGAACTGGGTAAGTATATGTAACTTTCATAGTTAATAAAATCAAATTGTATGAAAATTCATAATTTTATCCGATATTATAGGTATCTATCCTGCTGTCGATCCGCTCGACTCCACTTCTCGTATCATGGATCCTAACATCATCGGTCCCGAACATTACAATGTTGCCCGTGGTGTACAAAAAATCTTACAGGACTATAAATCACTACAAGATATTATTGCCATCTTAGGTATGGATGAATTATCAGAAGAAGACAAACTGACTGTAGCGCGTGCGCGTAAGATTCAGAGATTTTTGTCTCAACCATTCCAGGTATATTCATATATTTTCTAATGTTAATATTCCATAATGTATCGTTTCCATTAATTGATCTTTTGCATCTAGGTTGCTGAGGTGTTCACTGGCCATGCCGGGAAATTAGTACCATTAGAAGAAACCATCAAAGGATTCCAGAAAATCCTTGGCGGAGAATATGATCATTTACCAGAAGTCGCGTTCTACATGGTTGGACCGATTGAAGAAGTAGTAGCGAAAGCAGAATCGTTGGCAAAACAATAAATTTGGTTCACAGTCATCATAATCATGTCATTAAAAGTAATTAAAACGATCTTCTAATAATAGAGGCCTCTTTCTTTTTTGTCTAGAAATATTGACTTTCATCCAAAACGATAACTAACTTCAACAATTTTTCAAAAGTGGATTAGAAGATTGTTTTCCGTTTGAAATTACCTAAAAAGTATGCAAATTTATCGAGAACATCAGAAACATAATCATAAATTGTATATGAACTTTATAATTTTGTTTCGGATGTTTTTATTACTTACAGATCAAACCAGCATTGTTATTCAACATATACTTTAACATTATAGTATATGTTAGGAATTAATAAAAATTTTACAAAAATTACAGATAAATGTACAATTTAAAAATTTTCCGGTTTTACAAAACAGCTTTCTTCTAATTAGACAGGAAAATAGGAAAAGAATTATTTTACTTTCAAATAAATAAATGAAAAATAGTTTTTTAGTTTAATTATTAAAATAATTTTATAAAAAACATTATTTAAAAGTTATGTCACAATGTTTCAGTATCACAATCAATCATTGGTTTTTTTAACCGATAAGTGTTCCTTAAGATCTGAAATATAAAATATTTAATTTAGAGTAATATTTAATTAATTACATATGTGGAGTTGTAGTGTTACCTTCCATTGTTCCATGTTTAGATACATCACGTTTTGAATATTCGGCCTTTTTCCTGCCTTTGCCTGAGTTGTTTTGTCTTTAGAACACGGTTGAACAACAAGTACTCCAGATTCATCTGTCAACAAAATAACATTTAATATACAAAAATCACGACTTTTTTATAATTATCAGGACTAATATTACCTTTTGTTACTATTACCCGTCCATCTCGAATAAGAAAAGATATTTGTAAAATATTTTGAATAGTTTTCCCAAAATCATCTGGGTTTAGAACTAATTTAAAAAAGTCGAGCGGTTTGTGATAGGTTTTATAATACTTGGAGATAATTTTGTTAATTTTTACAGTTTGCTCTGCACTTTCTTCTTCTTTTTCAACTGTTACCACATTATCTGGCTTTTTTATTTGTGCTTGAGTTTCTCTAACTGTTGGTTTTCTTCTGTTAATCTCCTTCTTTTCTAATGGCACCAAAGTACCTAAAAATATAAAAGAATAAATATACATTATGTTCTCCATATTAGGCAGAAATTTTATATCTGATAGAAACCTAATAATGTGGTATAATGGGATGTTCTTTTAAAGGATTTTACAACTTGTAACTTTAGAAGCGACCAATCTGGTATTTCTGATTCAACATCAGGAAGTTGGTTTATATATTGCACCTAAATTAAAAAATAACTTATTTAAAACAATTATTAATTAGTAGTAGCATTTATTGATGTAGCACATACCAATTTTTGGGCAAATTCTATATGATTATATGAGCATACACGTTTTGTCAATGATCTTGTACATTGTTTTAAAACATTAGAAGATATGTTCATCATTTCTGAGTCCATTAGTACCTCATCTTGATTATGCACTAAAAGATGACATAAGCAATTATAAGAATATATTTAAAGAAATCAAACTAAATCAAATAAAGAAAAATACATTTAAAAATTAAACATACTCTTTTCTTCTAAGCTTGTTTCAGAGTTTATATTATCTGTTTCTTTCATACATAGTTCTAGATTGTTTATAGTATCATCATTAACTGCCTCCTCTATAAAATTTAACATCGAATGTAATATTTATTTTTCCTATAAGCCACATTGTTAAAAATCTTACGTAGAGATTGAGCTCTAGTTATAATCTTCCTCAAAATCTCTTTACGTTGTTGTGGTGATCGTGCGAACGACTGGCTGTTAGAATTAGAATTATTCATGGACATTTTAAGTTAATTTATGTCGAAAAATTGTATATTTATATAACACAATGAATAGAAACAATATTCTCGTTGTTTTCGTGTAACAATAATCAGTAAACCTAGCACTGACTGACCATTAACCTTTCGTCATAAACGAAATGCATATACTGTAATCTGTAGTCTGTAGTCTGTACTATTATTTACTAGTATAGCCCGTTAGAAAAGACCTACTGTATTAGCATGTCTCTCTTTTTGTAAAATTATATTTATCGAAAATGTATTTTTAAAAATTTTTCACTTCTCTAGTGATGCTTTCACGATGTAAATTAATATAAAATCAAAATAACGAAACGAAACTAGAAAAAGGAGAGTTTATGACATATAATTAAAACGTGTATCAGAAAAAGGTTTTGACATTTCGTGGTTACGAACATTAAAAATCTTCTTTATAATTCGAGAATTAAAGAAACGGACATGGATAATATCTCGAATAAGGTATTATTTACGATTCTTTGACGGCAAGACATAGTGAGCATTGTTATTCGTGTGAATTTATATTTTTTAGGAAGAACAAAACAATCAGGATGATTCAGACTCTGAGATAGACGAGGTAGAGCCTAGACTTAAATACGTCAGGGTACGAAACGATCTACAACATATATTACAAAATGATGCAGCTAGTTGCATTGCAGTGCATCCTAAGGTATGAATCATGATTGCTAATACTTTGTAAAAATTATGTAAATATAGTTAACTTAATGATTTTATGCTATCGAGGTTAAGCATAGTGAAACAGTTGAGATTTTAATACTCGGTTATCTATTTGTATTACTACTTGTTATAGCGATTTAATTTTTGTTTAGTTCCTATGTCTGGGCTCACACTGGGGTATGATACATCTTTTAGATCATCAAGGAAATAATATACAATCTAAAAGTTTACAAGCGCATACAGTTGCTGTCAACCAGATTTCTATAGACCACAATGGAGATTTCATTGCATCTTGTAGTGATGATGGAAAAGTTTTTATATATGGTCTTTACAGCACAGAGAATAATCACAATATGAGCATGGGTAGATTAGTCAAAAGCATAGCTATAGATCCAAATTATTATAAAAGTGGTAGTGGGAGAAGATTTATTACAGGTTGTTATTTTATTTCATATATTTGATTTCTAAATTACATTTAATAATTAGCTTCTCAGAAATGAAAATTATTTTTAGGGGATGATAAGTTGGTTTTGTATGAAAAAACATTTTTATCCAGAATGAAACTAACTGTATTGTGTGATGCAGAAGGTGGAGTAAGATCAATTGCATGGATTGGACACTTTGTGGCTTGGGCATCTGATACTGGTGTCAGAATCTATGATTTAAATGCCAAGTGTTCATTAGGTCTTATTAAATGGAATAGATCTGCTGAGTAAGTAACAAAATGATACATAAGATTTCTATATGATAATTTTTCATCGTCTAATGTTCTACACAGTGCATTACCAGAGCACTATAGGTGTAATCTTCGATGGTCTGATGATAGAACATTATTAATCGGATGGGTTGACATAGTAAGAATTTGTCAAATTAGAAAGAGATCAATACAAGAAATGATTAACAGAGACCTACCAGAATTTGTAGTGGATCCAGGTATATATTTTATATTTATTAAAATTAATATTATTAAATTACAATAATAATATACAATAATAATAAAACTTTTCAACTAATTTTAGTTTCAACTTTCCAAGTGGATTTTTACATTTCTGGTATTGCACCTTTAGAAAATCAATTAGTATTACTAGGATGCTTGAAAGAATTAGATGAAAATGGAAAAAGTCAGAGACCCACTTTACATGTTGTTGAACCAAAATATCAAGATTTCACTCTTGTTTGTGCAAATTCCCTCACACTCCGTGGTTATAAAGAATACAGCTGTAATGATTATCATTTAGATTGTTTGAAAGAAGAAAACAGGTATTTAGTTTATTGTCATTAAATTCATTAGTTCGAGACTAATCTTCTTTTTATATGTTTATGTTTAGGTTTTTTATCGTAAGTCCAAAAGATATTGTTGTAGCTAGTTTATATGATGCAGATGACAGAATTGAATGGTTATTATGTCATAGTAAATTTGAACAAGCATTAGAGGCAGTAACAATAAACAATGGAAAAGACTGTACAAAATACACTTTAGTTTTTGTTGGCCGTGTATACTTAGATCATTTGTTAGCTTGTGGGAAATATGATGAAGCAGGAAAACTCTGCTCTAAAATTTTAGGAAAGGATAAAAAATTATGGGAGGAAGAAGTTAGTGTTATTTTTTAAATTATGATATTCCAGTTTCACGTACAGTTTTTATTAAGTAATATTTTATTGTAGGTGTACAAATTTGCAAGAGTTCATCAGTTACGGTCTATTTCTTCTTATCTTCCAAGAGGCGATGTCACATTAGATCCATTGATTTACGAAATGGTTCTTTATGAATATTTGAAAATGGATCCTGATGGATTTCTTCAACTAGTCAAAGAATGGTCTCCTAAATTGTATAAAGTTGCAGCTGTTGTCAATGGTGTTTTGGAACATCTTCTAATTCATAATCAACGACAAAATGTACTGTTAGAAGCTTTAGCAATTCTATATATTTACGACGAAAAATACGACAAAGCATTGGCCATGTATTTAAAATTAAGACATAAAGATGTATTTCAACTTATTCAGAAATATCAATTGTATAATACCGTTTACGACATGATAGAAGGTTTAATGGATCTAGATGCGGAACGTGCTATACAATTTTTTTTAGAAAAAGACAGAGTGCCATCTGATATTGTTGTACAAAAATTACAACGTAATCATCGATATTTATATTTGGTAAGATATAAAAAGTAAATACAATATGAATATAATAATTTCCTTTTTATAGTAATTAAATTCAAATATGACTTAACAGTATTTAGATGCATTAGATAAAAAAGATACGAAAGGAAAATACCATGGATTGTTAGTTCAACTTTATGCTAATTATTCAAGAGATAAATTGTTACCACTTCTACGTCGTTCTGATAATTATCCAATACAGCAAGCGCTAGATATTTGTAGCCAGCGAAAATTTTATCCAGAAATGGTATACTTACTTGGTAGAATTGGAAATACTTCTGAGGCTTTAGCACTTATGACTAGAGAATTGAATGATATGCAAAGCGCGATCGCATTTTGTCAAGAACACGATGACGAGGAATTGTGGAATGATTTAATTATTTATTCTCTTGATAAGCCTCGTGAGTAATAAAGAAATGTATTTAATATTTCATATACACACATATGGATTATTATTAAGTGAAAATTATAACTATGATTGAATTAAATTAAACTATTTCTTTCAGAGGCTATCACATTTCTATTGCAAAAAATAGGCACTTATGTCGATCCTAGACTCATGGTACAAAGAATAGAACCGTCTTTAGAAATTCCTGGTTTAAAGAAAGCTTTAGTCAAGATGATGTGTGATTATAATCTTCAAGTGTCGGTACAAGAAGGATGTAAAAAAATTTTATCCAATGATTATTTTAATTTACATGAAAGGCTAGTTAAATGTTATCAAAGAGGAATATTTATAGATGGTTAGTATTGAACGATTATAATTATGAATCGATTGTAAAAAATTTCATTTATACTAATAATTATGGTTCTTTCTTCTTAGATGATCAAATGTGTGGAGCTTGCCATAGAAAAATAATTGTAAAAGGTATCCATTAAAACAATGATTAAATTATTTAAATATAATATTAGTGTTATTTTAGTTATTACATATTGTTTATTACAGAACCAAGAAATCTAGTTGTATTTTATTGCAAACATTCATTTCATGAAGATTGTTTACCAAATTTCGAAGTAGTGGTATGTATTTTAAATTTAAATAATCTAAAATGCTTTTTATCTTTCATACATTTCAATTTATTTTTCAGGAAAATTGTGTTATATGTAATTCCCAAAAAGATATATCACCTAACAGAAAATGATACAGGTAAAATTTGATATTAAAAATATTTCTCATAAATTAAAATATGATTTACTGAAATTAAAATATGATTTATTGAAATTATGTTTTGTTATTTTAACTTCTGTAATATTTGATCAATAGTAGAACATTTTGTACATATTCTGAACACTTTAAGACATCCAGGACATTTCAAATAAAACTGAAAATTAAAAAATTACGTAACTGTTTTGTAAATATAATAACAATATAAAATTTATATAATATATACATAATATATATAATATAATATAAAATTTACTTTATGTTCGCCACAAACTTGAACAATTGCTTGACATTCATCGCAAGTTCTTTTTAATTCCAGTGGAACATTAAATGTTTCATTTCTTGAAGTAGACACATCAAATTTTTCTTGAATATCAGATGTAGTATCATTCGAATCTTTTGAATAAATAGATTTTGTACAATCATCAGAACTCTAAAATTAATCATTCATTTTAATAATGAGTTTCTTTACTATATACTTCAAAATATTTGCCTTTATTTCATGATATTCTCCTGTAAAAGATGTCGAGGAAATTTTTTTCATTGTAGTACGATCTATATAAAATCCACAGATGTTACACGAAGTATCCGACTTTTTTTCTGCTAGCTGTGATAGTACATCGCTGTCATAATCTTCACATAATATACTGGTCTCCCAGGTCATTGGATTTTTCGCAAACGCTTTAAAATGTTGTATTGTAAAGTCTATCACGTTTTCAGGTTTTACTGTGGAGACCAGCAATTAATCAATAATATTAATACATTATCGTTAAATAAAATGCATTTTAACCTGTTTGAGAAGTATTGGCACAATATTTCCCCAGTTGAAAAATTGATTACCAACTAATAGTATTTGAACATAATCTGCAATTAGTTGCTTTATTTCTGGATGATCAGCTAAATACTCCGTTAGTTCAGCGATTTTGGCGAACTATTGATAGAGTAAGATATACATTTTACTTATATAAATTATTTCACGCGAAATATTTCATGCTTTCTTACTTTCACATCTAAATATTTAGAAAATATTTCAATATCTTCTCTCCAACGATCTTTTAGAGGTGTTTCTGTTCTTATTGTTTTGCTTGGAATATTAGGATCATCTAATGGATTTATTTTCAAGATGTATGGTACATCCAACCAATTATGTCGAAGTATCCTACCTTTCGGTGTTAAATAAGTTCTTATGGTATGAAAAGTTCCATCTTCCTTGCACATTTTACGTTCGATTGTATAAACATCCAAAAAATGTCCATCTAATTTCATACGTTCAGCAGGAATGCATATCTACTAGAGGAAGTATCTTGTTACTTTGTATTCGTCAATACACATTCATATTTTCTTACATAATTGGATTTAGCAACATCTCCATCTATGGAAATATTTTCAAAATATAATGTTCCCTCATAATTTATAAGCGCCAAATATCGCATTAGTAATATATTTGCTCCTTCACTTATCAAAGTACTGTTAGTGGAAAAGTATAAGTCTTTAGTTTCTGTAGATTTATTACAGGTACAAGTACGCGTTAATTTTATGTGGTAACGATCGTCTTCAATACCCATAAAAATTGTTTTTTCATGCAACCCATCATCGTACATAAATCTGTAATGTTATATAATGTTAATATTATTTAAGTGAATATAAAAACATAGCTTTATTAGAATTAACTAACTCTGTTCTTTTTTCTTCTAGACAATGTAATTTTGATGTTGCTGAACTGATAAGTTTTGACCCACCGAAATGACCCTCAATAGACATCGAAGATTGCACATGCACTAAAAATTCCCAAGCCTTAGGTCCGATGGATTCTACCACAACACAATAGCCGCCTATTGGTTTCGTATCCTTTATAGGTTTACTTTTTGAACAAATTATTAAGGTCTCTCGAAAACATAAATCCTTTTGATTTATATCGTCTAAGGTACAAAAAGAAAAAAGAAAACTATTCAGAGAATGCAGCATATTATTTTTTTCAACAAAAATCTACTGTTTAACAATGAAAACAGTATAGCATATAAGTATAAAAATAGTTACATTCCATATACAATTCATTTCACCAGTGACGAATAAATTTAGTAATTTGTATATTGTATATTTTTCTATGCTATATTTTACTACGTTCCATTTTTTTGTGAACGTTTATTTGTTTTATTTATGAAACATCTTTATTCGTTATTGGAGAAACTTATTTAAAATAATTTATTTTAAGAAGATGTGAGATAGATATTTTGTATTATTTGAAAAACTTTTTAACAAATTCATTGGTCACATATAATTGCTTTGTTTGAAATTATCTAATCGTGAATCCATAATTTATTGTACATACTAACATATACATTAAGGTTTTAGAAAATTATTTTACAATAAAACGTGAGGAAATTACGATTTATACTTTAATATGTACAGTAAGAAGTTTGTCAAATTGTTACAATATATATTTTGTATTTTATACAACAAGGTGCCATTATTGTATAAAATAATTTTGGTATGTTCTGTGGTATTTGAGAGAATCTACGAATACAAAATTTGCATAATATCACAGTTATACCTAAGTCTCTAGGTCTCTATGTAAATATTCTGTCTAAGTTGCAATGTAGAACAATAATATGTAAAATACAATTAATATATAAATTTTTTACATCGCTCAGGAAGTTGCACGTTTTTATGATAATTTGTTACAGCAAAAACAATAATTGTCCATTTATTAAAAAGAGGGGAAAGAAAACAGATTTACCAATCGAAAATTCAGGAATCCATTTTCGGATATCAAATAATTTACAAAAAATTTCCTCTTTACTTGACATGTTTTTTTTATATTTAAATTTCTTCTTGGTAAAAAAAAAAGAAACAAAAATAAGCTTATCTTTTGTTTGCCTTTTGATTTGAAAGTAACTTCTCTATTATAATACAATACATCATAATTCTAGAAACTGTATATTATCACAGCATCACGTTACCTTATTAAAAATCTGTAAGATGAAGATTAAACGAAGAATGTCAAAGAGATTGCTTGATGTCCATATTTGTGAACTACCAAAAGTATCCGACAGCAATTTACCAAAACTACCGCCAAACGCAAGATTTTATGCACGTTGGAAACGAAATTTCCAGAAAATTTTTCTTGTTTCTGTGAATCATCCGTTAACGCGAAATTTTTTACGCAGTTTAGCTGCGATTGCTTTCGAAAAGCGAAGACATGGACGTTCTTCAACATGGTGGGTGATACACCCTTGTAGTAACTTGAGGTAATTCCAATTTTTTTTGGCAATTCTTTGGAAATTGCAAACATATGAAAATGAAATAAAATGAAATGCAAACATAATATAGTTGTCGATTTATATTTATGTAGGTATTACTGGGATTTTTTAATGACGTTTACATATCTGTATATGTTTATTGCGATACCATACATTCTGGCATTTCAAAGAGTAGCTAAAAGTTCTGGCCCAGAAAGTTGGAATCCAGTGCATCCTGCATATATTATTTGCATATTCGATATTGTACTTAATTTTATAACAGGTTTCAAATCACGAGATGGTCATGAGATTTTTCTAGATCCTTTTTTAATAATTCGGTAATTCACTGATTATGAGATTCTTTTTAACAAATGGTAATTGTATTGTTAAAATTATTAATTTTTGTACAGGCATTACGTGAAAAGATACTTTCTTGTCGATTTCATATCGTCGGTTCCATATGTTTGGTTTTATAAAGATCGTATTTTACCTTCTGGACCAAACTCAAATTCTATTTTATTAATTCCTGAATTATTACCCGTTCTAAAGATTTTTCGTATTTATACATTGCGTTTTTATATCCGACAAATTATTGCGGTAAGAAATAGTCGTAACTAAATTTAAAAAAATATATATCATTCAACTGTTGATACATAAAGAGATATACGTTTCAGAATTTCACAATTTCTCATAGTGAAGAAAAAGCCATCTGGTTAACACTTTTGGTATTGTTAATATTTCATTGGTACAGCTGCGTATCACACATTTTTCCATTTATCGTTGCGCATATAACTGGTGTTACTAAGGAGGTATATTTAAATTCATCATTATTTTAAATTTACTTTAATCAGTGATTTGTTTTAAAAGTACAATTATTGCAGGAATCCGATATGTATTTGATTACTACCGGATTGTATAAAAAGTCCGATGCAGATATTTATCTGGTCTATTATCATATTGGTATAAGTAATTTCTTTGCATCAAGTTTTATAGAGTTCCACTTCTTGGGTAAATCAGATACAATAATACGTTGTATTTTACTGCTGTTTGGGAAAGGATGTATAATTTATTTCATGGGTAATCTTCTTTTAATTTTTTTAATTATTCATTGAAGATAGGTGTTTCATTGATCTTCATGTTACAACAGTCATAGTTCTACAATCAGTTCAGTCGGCTGCAGAACCAGAATTAAAATATCAACGAATTATACATCAAGTGAAAGAATATATTCACGAAAAGAAACTGCCAGAAAATCTTAAGAAAAAACTTATTGCTTATTATGAATATCGTTTTCAAGGCAGTTACTTCAAAGAAAAAGCGATATCCCGGACTTTATCAAGTTAGTTGGATATGCTTATAATATGAAAAGAAGCTTGTACATATTTTGTTTACTTTTGTAAATTCGTATTTTTACGTATAGGTCATTTAAATCAAGAAATCATGATTCATAGCAGCCGCGGATTAATAGATACAGCAATAATTTTGCATTCTTTGCCGCGTAACGTTATTGGATATTTAATGGGTAAAACATTGAAAAAAATGTATATTGTATCTTTATTATATCGAGAAGCTTTTAGTTCTTTTTTTTATAATTATATGAAATGTATTTATATAAAAAAAATATAATTATTACATGAAAATCTTTATAGGAATTCTAAAACCGGTCATTTACCTTGAGGAAGATATTATATATAAAAGTGGAACTGAGGGTGATTGTATGTTCTTTATAATTAGTGGAACCGTTGCTCTTATTACATTCAATGGAAAAGAAGTATGTAAAACCGAGTACCAATATAAATTATGAAAAGTCGCATTTCTTTGTTATGAAAAATTATTAATTTTTTTGAAAGATATGCCACGAGAAAGATGGAGGTTATTTTGGTGAAGCAGCTTTAATATTTCTAGATCAGAGAAGATTAGAAAGTGTAATTGCGTTAGAAGTATGTGAACTACTGCGCTTAAATCGCCGCGATTTCAAACGTATGTTCTCTACAACGTCAATTTTTTACAAGAGATTAGAAAATGTTGCTAAAAACAGATACGAGCAGATTAACAAATTAAATCTTAGTAGTAATTTGGAAACAAGTACATTGATTGAGAAAGAAAACATTGCTGAGAATGCTCATCAGGTAGGAGATACTAAAGCTTCGGTTAATAATCAAGATGATTATATTGAGAGAGGAACATTGAATGTCAATAAAGAAAATTAAAATATTAAATTAATTGTTTAAATATTTATATCATTGTAAAATTTAAAAAGATTTAGATGATGTCAGAGTATCAGGAAATTGTAAATACTAATTGTAATTTGCTGTACTGTATTCATACGCGCGTGTTTGCATATATATATATATAGATATATATAAGTTGATTCGCATTCAGTTGCATGCGTTCGATTTACCAGCTGTTTTCAGTTTCGCAAATCGCGAAATTTTGGTATTTACGCAGAAATTACGCAGTGTAATTAATTTAATTGTAATATATAAACATATAACTTATAACAGATAGATAAATTACTTTCAAAATTTTGTTTTTAATTAATTTAATCCAAATAATTGTGAATAAATAATTGCAATTTTCTGTTGTAATTGTGTCACATTCTTGGTATTAATTTGTTATACTTAGTATTTGAAATATAACGTCAAACTGGAATCAATATTATTGAAATTGTAATAAAATATCACTAAGGTTAAGATTAAGAATTTGGCATGTTATACACGTGTCGAAAAACACGTGTGTTATTTAATTTAATTATTATTATTATTGTTATTGGTATTGGTATTGTTGTATTAAATTTTCGTTTCTTCTTTTTTTATTTAGAGCAATAAACATGGTTGAATTGAAGTGGGAAGAAAAATATGAACTAATCACCAGAAACTTAGCTGAGTGGCTTGGCGATGAGAAACTTAAAAGTATTCTCAAACAACGAGATTTGAAACTCTACTGGGGTACTGCTACAACTGGTAAACCCCATATTGGCTATTTTACACCAATGTCCAAAATAGCAGATTTTTTAAAATCTGGTGCTGAAGTTACTATATTATTCGCTGATCTTCATGCATATTTGGATAATATGAAAGCACCATGGGAACTTTTAGAACTTCGTACTCAATATTATGAAACAATTATTAAAGCTATGCTTAAATCTATAGATGTACCTTTGGAAAAGCTAAAATTTGTTAAGGGAACAGATTATCAGTTATCTAAGTAAGTAATCATATATAATTTGCTATCATCATGTAACACATACAATCATTTTTTATTCTAGGGAATACACATTGGATATGTATCGGTTAAGCTCTGTTGTAACTGAGCATGATGCAAAAAAAGCAGGCGCTGAAGTAGTCAAACAGGTTGCAAATCCTTTGCTCTCTGGATTGTTATATCCAGGTTTGCAAGCTTTAGATGAACATTACCTTAAAATTGATGCTCAATTTGGTGGAATAGATCAAAGAAAGATCTTCACTTTCTCAGAAAAATATTTGCCATTACTTGGATATGAAAAACGTATCCATTTAATGAACCCAATGAGTATGTATACAACATAAAATACAACATATTAAATATAATACAACATTAAGATTCCTATATACGTCATATATGAATATATTTTAGTTCCTGGATTGGCAGGATCAAAAATGTCCTCTTCTGAAGAAGATTCAAAAATTGATTTGTTAGATAATGCTGCAGCTGTTAAAAAGAAGTTAAAGAAAGCATTCTGTGAACCTGGTAATGTAAATGACAATGGAGTTCTTTCATTTGCTAAACATGTAATATTTCCTTTATTGAAAGGAGAAAAGACCTTTAATATACAAAGGACAGCCGAGTTTGGTTTGTATTTTTTTTATTATTTTCAATATTTTTGGTAAATTTATTCTAACATAAATTTTATTGTTTTTAGGTGGAGATATATCATTTGATACATATGAAAATTTAGAGAATGCCTTTGCTAAAGAAGAAATACATCCTGGAGATTTGAAAAATGCAGTTGAGATTTACATTAATAAACTTTTAGATCCAATTAGGAAAGAATTTGAAGCAGATCCAAAATTAAAAAATTTGGCGAGTAAAGCATATCCTCCACAAAAACCAAGTAATATTTTTTATGTGAATTGCGAATATTAGACAAATTATAAATTCAAGTAATAATATAATATTTATATTAAATATTCAGAAGTGGTGGAGGAATTAACACCAGCTCGATTGGACATTAGAATTGGAAAAATAGTTGAAGTTTCAAAACATCCTGACGCTGATTCACTTTATATAGAAAAAATTGATATTGGAGAAGCTAGTGGACCTCGAACAATAATCAGTGGACTTGTAAATTATATACCAATAGAAGAAATGCAAGACAGAATGGTAGTTATTCTTGCAAACTTGAAACCAGCAAATTTAAGAGGTGTCCAATCTCATGGAATGGTTTTATGTGCTTCAGTGTATGTTCCAATTCAATCAATAAATGTTTGTTATTACATTAAATAATTAATTCATAATTAATTAATATAGAGATGAACCAGTGAGGCGAGTTGAACCATTGAGACCTCCAGCAGATAGTAAACCAGGTGAAAAGATCGTTGTTGATGGATATGAAGATGGTTCGCCAGACGAAGTACTTAATCCAAAGAAAAAAGTATGGGAAAAATTACAAGTAAGTTTATTATTTTTTTTTTTGTGCAATAGAATAAAAAAAAAATCATATTTCGAAATTACTTGAACTTAATTTTTTTATAGGTTGATCTTGTAGTAAATGGTAATGGAGAGGCATCTTGGAGTGGAAATCTTTTGCTTACTGCCAGTGGTGGAAAACTCACAGCTGACAGTCTTAAAAACGTGGCAGTTAAATAATAATACTTCAGATGTCTAGGTATCCATGCATTTTTATTTTCTATTTGTCCAAAAATAGATCGAATGTGTCGATTGAATTGATTTATATTTAAAACTGCCGTTTCTACTTCATTTAATTATTTGCATATACTTACTGTTTTATATTTTTGAGATGTAAGAATACAACGTAAAAATAGATGAGAAGTGCATCCATGCAAAGAATTTAATATATTAGATGCTGCTCATCCTATCTTTGTTATATTTTTCAATAAAATATAAAAGATATGATTAAATATAAGCATAGACATAATAGATTGAAAGGTATTAGCAGATTGAACTCTAAATTTATTCATATGGTAGTTGATGAAATATTCGGTATAGTATCCCTGTCATTATAATTTGTTCGCGAACAAGGAGATCGTGGCTTTAAATTATGGAAATTTTTTATCTTCAATTGTGAAACATTACACGATTTTGATTTTCGATCTTTCTTCTTTAGGATTAACCAAGATGTAACAGGGCACAATGCTAATTCTTTTCTCAATGAACTACTACTACAACCATACAATAAAGGATTTATTCCAGCATTAAGCAGTATTAAATATCTGCTAATATACCTGTAAAAATTATTTATATATCATATGCTGCATTGATTAATGAAATGGTTTTGAAATATTTACCATAATGGATACAAAGTGTCTGCTTGTCCTGTTTTAGACAGTTCTTTTAATAACTGTGCCCTTCGAATTATTAACGCGGTAAATGGTACACGGCATATGATGAATGCTAAAACTATTAATGCCAATACTTGTGCTACTCTTCCTTTATATTTTACCACAATAGGATATTTACTTCTCAAAGCTTGTGCTTCGTAACGATCTAACTAGAAATTAAAAATAAAATGTAGAATTATATTTTTACATTACATATAAGAAAGATTAAATACTTTATTATTTAAATACTTTTATGAGAATAGCTGAATAACATATTGCCATAATACCCAATGGTGCCCAAACGCTTAAACCGGCGAAAATGTGCCAATAAGGATAGATAAGCACAGTGTCTTCAGTACAATATGCCTCTAAATAATTTTTCCATTGTCTTTCGTAATAATGTCGAAAATAAATTAAAGGAATAGCGACAGATATTGCACAAATCCAAGTAGAGAAAAGTAAAATGTGCATTATCCTTCAACAAAAAACGTAAGAATTAAAAATTTATAATATTTTTCGTATAAGTTTTGATACTATTAGTAATTTCGTCTTATCACCTTCTCGATAATTTTCCTGAGCAATTAAGGACAATAGCTGAAACACGATCGTAACTGATTGCACTCAAGTTAAAAACCGCAACTAATGTCAAAGCATGCACTAATGCTCCATCCATTCGACAGCCAATCTCGCCCAAAATGTAGTTTTGAAACAGATCAACGCAAAGAAACATCCACGGACATACCAAACATGTACCAAAATCTGCGATACACATATTTACAATCAAAAGATTTGTCGTAGTGTGTAATGATTTTTCTTTCAGTATCACATAGATTAATCCACCATTAGCTAAGGATCCAATAGTGATAATTGGTAAAACACTGATAATTTTTATAATCACTTCCCATGTAGGTCGTATTTCCCAAATTTCTGAAGGAAACGTATGCTTACTAGTGTCGACATTTTCCCACTAAAAATTTATATATTTATCAGTTACGTTGATAGTGAATACAACAGAATGATATTTTAATTCAAAATCATACTTCCGAATTCGTAGCTACAAGCTCGTAGATATTCTTTCTATGATAACTCCACTGTATGTTTAGTATACAGGTTTTGTTTATCAAATTTGAGAAATCCATACCATTTAGTGTACTATGGTATAAGAACGACATGAATTCTAATAAGATACTGAGAGCTTAATAATAATTGCAAGGATTAATCTAAATGCAACAGATGGTACATTAACATTAAGAGCAAGCTTGTTTATTTAGCTCTTTAGTAAGATTTAAAATATGATATAGTAGTTCAAAGTAATTGCTGATAAATTTTAGGGATAACAAGTTTAAAGAATGATTTTTATGAAAAATAATGGTGATTTATCAATTTGACTCATTTAAATTGTATTTTATTTGGTTGTGAAGGTGTACATAGCAGTACACGCGAATTCCATACAAATATTTGTATAATGATGTGCGATAGATTTTTTATATAATATAAATTAGTTGCTTATTTTTTGCTTATTTATAAGCATATAAATTTGGCACACTTAAAAATATTTTTCACAATATTTTATGCAACTGTATTCTTCATTATATTATATTATTCTTATTAGACTTTTTATACAGTTTGTACTTCATTAGATTATTTTCTAGTCAGTCATATCTAGAATTCTCTAGATAAACATCACGATCCTTCTTAACTTTTTTATACGAAAAATATATAAAAGTTATATTTATAAGCTAATACGACTTAATTATGCAATTAATTTTATTTCAATTTCGATGATAATGAATGTTAATTTTTTAAAAGAATAAAAATAGTTGAAATTATCAAACCTTTAAACATAACAATTTTTTTTTACGAATACATTTATATTTTTTGTTATAAATTTTAACACCATTGGAACTTAAATTCTAAAATTAATCTTTGATCTTCTCTCCCTCCTCTCATTCTTATTCATTTAAATTTTTATTTCGTTATAGTTAAAATAAAATAATATTTTTTAACTTTTTTATTGTACGTTTTTTTATAGCAAATATTCAGGAAAATAAAAATTAAGAAAGGTTTGAAGCGTTAAACATGACGTAGTCGAAACTAAGAACAGAACTGAATTGTTAAAATAGATCATAAATTAAATAATATAGATTTGTTTTTTTTTAATACATTAAACAGGCATAATAAAACTAGTCTCTCGTACAATTCGTTATTCGTATTTAACATGTTCTATCCACACAATACCATTGAGGATATACAAATTCAGTATGATATTTACAAACGAGTACTATCATGTCTAGTCACAGCAGCAATTCATATTAGAATGTCATTCGTTCATAAAAATTAAAATTTTACAATATTCAATGCACGAATACAAATCTTGCTGATGGTTTTTGAACACTACGTAAAATAGGGATTTATCTGTCATCTTTTTTCACTATATTGAACAATATTCAACTACAATTTGTAACAAACATTTGACTAGTTCTTATAGTCTTATTCTGTATCATCAGCTTCTGACGATTGTGTAACGGGCAACGGTGACGGGATAACTAGTTCGTCATCCTCAACTTCTTCTTCTGCCAGCAAAAAATCTTCTCCTTCGTGAATTTCTTCTTCTCGTGCCGGTTCCGGTGGAGCCAGCACATCTTGACCATGTTGTTTTAAATGATCCTTCAACGCAAATGCTCTACCGTAGGATGCACCACAAATGTAACAACTGAATTTTAAATTATTGTCTTTCTTGTGAGTTTGTATATGAGCACGCGCAGCATATAAGGAAGCAAATGGACGGGAACACTCGGTACATCGAAATGGTTTAGTGTGACTGTTTTTATGTCCTGCTAATTGAACACGCGTTTTAAACGTTTTTGGACAGTAAGGACACGTATAAGCACGTTCTTCTCCGTGTGTAAGTAAATGATGATTGTACACAGAAGAAGCTTTAAATCTTTTTCCACAATGTTGGCATCCATATGGTCTGACACCAGTGTGAGTCCTCATATGTAAAGTCAGACAATAGGAAACACGAAAAGTTTTACCGCAAACCTATGAAATGAAAATGTATTTGTATACATAACAGAAATCACAGGATCGTAACTTACATTACTTTTACTTACTTCACACGCGTGTGGTTTTTCTCCAGTATGAATACGTTCATGTTTCACTTTTTCATGAGGTCTCGTAAATCTTCGACCACAATGTTGACACTGATAAGGCTTCTGATTTTCTGCGGGTTCGGCAGTTGTAGCTGTTTCGGTAGTAACAGTAGTAGGTGGTGTCGGTGAATGTGGTTGACTTAATTCTGTATGTACTGCGGCATGCATTGCCAAACTATCGGCAGAGTCAAATTTTCTATTACACACAGTACAAGTTACAGAGTCACCAGAATGCAATGCCATGTGCGCTTCTTTGTACGATTCTGCTAACGTTTTACCTGTAAATAATTGACATTCGATTAAGTACGAATACATCAAGAATTAATTATATTTTCAATCTTATATTAAAAATATTACCACACTCGGGACATGTGAATGTTGCATTAGGTGTTCCTTCAGGTGCATCAACGTGCCTTGCTCTAACTGGTGCGTGCATTCGAGAATGTAAGCGCAAGCTTTTGTGCGAACAAAATTCTGTACCACAAGTTTCGCATATGAAAGTTTTTTGATTTGGATCAGGTTCACCTTCGTGTACTTTTGCATGTAATTGTAATGCTTTCGGTGTTGCAAAAGTTTGATCACAACTATCGCAACGATTATTGCCATGAAGACATGCATGTACTCGGAAGTTTCCTAATTTAGAGAATTGCTGAAGGCACTGATTACATCTGTACATTCTCATTGGTGTTGTAGCTAATCTTTTTTCTCGTACCTATAATCAATATATATGAAAAAATCATCAAGATTTATTATAGCATAAAAAGAAATAGATGCTTGATATACTTTCACTCCTTCCACATTAGAGAAGAACTTTTCAATCATTGGTGCTTTAGCAGATTGAAGTGATGTTTGCGCTGGAGTTTTATCCCAGAATCTTTCTATTTGTACTACTTTTCTTGTGTACAATCTTCCTTCACTGTCTACACATTCTTCTGTACGCAAAGTGTTCATACTCTGTCTTTGTCTAGTATTAGTTACATTTCCTGATTCCGAATGTAAGGTATTAGTTGCAGGTACTGTAGGTATATCATCCAATTGATCAGCTATTTCAAGTAGTACTTCTTGTCCATCATGAAATTGCTTTATATGTTCCACAAGAGAATTAAAGCTCATGTCACAACTAGTACAACTATAAACTGCTTCTGATTCTATCTATAAAAATGAATTATTCTCTCCAATTATACAATTTATTCGTCCAAATATACATCAGTAAATAACATCTTCATTATTTATACCTCACAAAGTTCTTGTTTGACATGTAGAAGTCCATCTTCATCTAATTCACCTACATCATTTATGTGATCTATGTTTATAAGAGCACCAGTACCTCCATCTAAGAGTTCTGAGCCATCAGGTAAAATAGTAATTACATTTTTATCTCTATTTTTGTCATCTGCCTCTGAAGTGGTTGAAATCGTTACTAATTGATCTTGGGTTAAAGCTTTCTCTTCTGTTTTGATATTAGGAACTTTGTCTGTCATCTTAAATTCCAAAGAATTTTGCTCCATCTGTGTCTCCTCAGTTTCCATCTTTTCTACGACTTTAATATCTCCTGATATTTTCATTAGAAACAATAATCAAATAAACAGAATTAACATAGATTAAATTAGAATTTCTACACACCATTTTCATCAACTTGTATAGTTTGAGGCCCCCCAACTATCATAATTCCACTGTCATTTACAGTTGCTAAAAAACTTTGATCTATTCCTTCAACGTTTGTATCCTGAAATTCAAATTATCAAGCAAAGAAGGAAAATGAATTAAATTAAAGGAAACCTTCATCAATTGATCCCAACCATTAGTACTTCTGTATCTGGTTGAGATTCTTGCTGAGAATCCTGCTCTTGTTCATGATTTGATTCAGATGGTACCTCTGACTCAGCACAACCGCAGCGATCCAAATGTTGAATGAGTGCCACTACTGAGTCAGATCGTTGCGAACAACCGGGACAGTATAGATTATCCGTCATGCTTAATAAGTGATACTTTAATGACTGTGAATTGTTAAACGTTTCACCGCAACACATTGGGCAAATAAGATTCAACGAGCCCATTATTTTCTTTGTTTCGCTGCTGATCTCGTAGAGGGTCTTTCTTGATCTTAACCTGACCCTCTATTCTTTTTACTAACTTAATCGGACCTTTTATCGCTCGCCTATCCTATCTTCAATTCAAAAATGAAGCCGGTTCCCCGTTAAGAACCTAACCTGATAATGAATCACAAAAATCAGTAAAATCTCTCAAACGCATCAAGATACAAGACAGTATCATGATGTTTCGTTCAGAAACTTGATTTTCCGCAGGATGTTTACGTCAATTACGGTCAATTATATTACATAAAAATAAACAGCATCTCTTTCTTATAATAACAGCGATAACAAAACTCATTAGAGACGAACTTCAGCGCAAACAAATGCCGCACACAACAATCATGAAGTTAGGGATGTGATAAGTGAATCGCGAAGTCGGCCATTACACGCGAGTTCGGTATAGAACTATCGAAGTCAAATTCAAGCTTTATCGCGTGCTGTGCGACGATTGTCTCGTTGGAACGTGAATTATTGTCGCAATTTCGTTGCGACTCCTCTTTTGAAGATATCGGATCTTTTGCAGTATAGTATGCAAGTTGAAACAATTGACAGTAGTTGATTAGATGCTCAATTGACAAAAAGCGCGCGGTACATTTGGGTTCCGTTTGAACGAATTTGCAACTGCGAAACTTCCTGTGATTCGTTTTATAACCTGCGTTATCGCTAAAAAATAAATTCCCAATACTTCTTAAAGATTTATATAAGTGATTTTATAAATGGTGGGAAAAAGGTAAAAGAGAATAATAAATCAATATATATATTTAAATAACGTATATTTATTTATTTATTGAAGAATATTTACATTTTCTTAACATAGATTATCGCGCGAATGAATGACACTGTGTGTTTGTTTCTTGTACGTCGTGATTTCTTGCATAGAATATAACACAGTTTTGTTTCATGCTCTAATCGGCATGCTCGTGTTGAGCATTACTTTCACGCCATGTATTTTGAATTAATTCTACAAATTGTTGCCACCACCTGCTTTGCGAGGTAAAGTATAAAGCACATGCAGTGATGAAGATCCATGAGAGAACTAGACAATAATCTGTCCCATTGTAAGGCGTACTAGAAACAGGACCAGCAAAATCCAGTGATGTAACATATAATGATCCGTTTGGTTGTAAATTAGTTATTTGCATTATAAATTTTGCAAAGGCTTCAAGCGTGTAAACAGTGTAATTGAATTTTGCCACAGGTTTCCCATTATGAACGAGCATTAATGTTGGGACTCCAACAATTCCATATTGAGCATTAAAACTGAAAACATGAAAAATATAAAATATTAATGGAACTTCGACAATATAAATAAGCTACTTTACTTTAGAGTGTCAATTACTTTTGGTATTTAATAGCATCTAACGCTACTGCCTTAATATGTGGAAAGGAACGTGGGAGTGCATTAAAATGTGGTGCAGCTTGACTACTGAATATACTCCATCTGGCATAAAATAATACTATCACGCAAGTTCCTGGTAAAAGTCTGCCTTCTTTGTCGTTTCTACTTTTGTTCAACGGTCCAGGTTCTAGGATTAATAATTTCATTAATCTGGTTGCGTTAACAATCTGAAAAATATTAACACTTTTCATTCGTTCTTTCACATCTTACATTTAACATCTTTAAAAATTTTATTGTGTTTACTTCTACTGGTTCATAGATTTTATCTGTTAAGCAATTGACTTTGGTCACATTAACAGTAGAATTAGTTAATGTCACGTTTGCTTCGATAATTTTGCTCTCTTCTTCGTGCTTCACGTCCTCCGGTTCAGGTTCTTGATCGGAATTTTTAAATGAAATTACCTCTATCATCTCGCATTTGTCCATTCGCGAGGAAACACCTATTACATGAACTAAGCAAATAATAGCTATTAAAATTATATTTTAGTCAGAAATGTATAACAAAAATGCATTGATATCTCACCTAAAATTATAATAAATAAACACGAGTTCCTTCTGGAAGAAAACATTTTATATACATAACCTAGAAAACTGGTCGTTTACTTTTCTTAAGAATTTATTGGTGATTCAGTTCGCACGTGGATGTTATCCTATAATATATATAAACGTATAATACTCAACGAATATTCATAATTGAAGCATAATTTGCACTATCATGTATGTAACAAGCAAGTTAATGCATCATGTTTATGTGCTTGCATTCTTGATTATGAAATAGACTGGCACTACGATAAACTGAGGTCGCATCGATCGCGTATTCTTTGGTTTCAATTCAATTATACATAATTTGATCGGTTAATTATTTCCATAATTATTTCCAGAATAAAGGAATTGTTTCCACGTTTTTGTATTTTAACATGAATTTCATATTTACAATCGGGATACAATGTTACGCAATATCAAATCACAAATTGGAGAATAAACTTTTTAAAGCTTGAATAACATTTCAATTATTATTTATTACTATACGTATATATGTTATATTTTTATTTATTACATGGGATTGGATTAAAATCTGTTAATGTCTATTTAAAGATTATTAGATTACAATTACCGATTCATTTGTGAATTGTGAAACTGTTAATTTACAGGGTAAATCTCACGCGATGCCGCGATCAAGCTTGCTGCATTTGAGTATATTCCACACACCACCGGAAGAAGAAAGAAAGAAAGACTTAAGAGTAGGAGTCCGCAGCGCGTATCTAGCCACTTTCATTGTTATTCGATCTACCTTACACCAAAGGTGCAAGCTGAGTACTCGCATCTTCTGGAGGGACAGAACCAGCAAACTTACATTAAATTTTTTGTCATTAAAAAATAAGCGTAACACAATCGAGTTTCCAGTAAGTACATACGTATATGCATAATATAAATTTTCATTCAAAAATTTTCACTATTTTTACACGCACTGTTCTAGCTGCTACCTTTCGTTGATAATGATCAAGTACTTTCTTTCTTTTAGATTATATTAAAGAGAAACTCTTTGCACTTTCCTTTACTTTACTTTTGTTCAATGCTATTCGATATTGATAATATATAAATCTCACAGAAATCGAGTATACGTAGATAATTAGAATTACATTTATTGTTGTATGTTTTAACAATTTTAACAAGAAGAATATATTTATATGATTAGAAAGTCTTCACTCTTGATGTGAATTTAGATAAAATTAAGCTTTTTTTCAATTTTCTTTTTCATTGAATCTTTCTGTCTCCTTCTCTTTTAACTCACTTACAATTCAACTTATAGTTAAAAGCATTTTACTCTGTGCATTCTCTAAAATTTTGTCAAAGAAATATACAGTTTCTAGCGCAGAAAAACTAAAACAAAAGACATGATACTACGAAGATACTCTCTGGCAAAAAAAAATTGCAAAATCGGCAGCAGAGTACCGGTTAACGGAGCGCGAAAGCACCAGCAGATGAAATCAACATCAATTCGCGCATTAGCATACAAAAATAGCGGTGCTGGCCTTATTCACCTTGCCGACTTAGATTCATACGTTCCGCCTAAACAATAAGATTTCGTACTTAGAACGCCGTAAAAAAACTGTTGCATGTACCTGAATGAAACACTACGTTTACGCATACTACAACATTTCGATATCGGTCAATTAGGAAATTGAGAAACTCGTGTTGCATCTGTGCTGGGAAATTGCATTGTTTTTCGTGTTATAACATCGTCCACCACTTAGCAACCTGTAAGAACGAGTCACGCGTTTCGCAGGAAGCATTGTACAGCGTTAAATTCGCATGAGATTTTTCAGCTATAACATTTTTGGTAATATTTGAATCGCAGATTAATATTATTTTAATTTTGTAGCATTTCTTTTTAATTGGACATTACGAAACGAATTAAAATCCATTCCGCTGTTCTGGAATATCAGCGTGATCAATCCGATAGTTACTTGGAAGAATTAATAATAATCGGTGAATACAATAGAGGCAGTTCGCAGTCCAAATTATGCTTCCTGGTTTCACTCGATTGTCGCTGAAATAGACGGAAGGAAGACGCATTCATGCTCTGTTTCAGCGGCTCGAATTCACTGAGTTTCTACAGGATATACCTACCGAGATATTTTAATGATGCCACCACACGTAGATGCGTCTCCTTGGTTTTTTACGAGCCTTAAAAGTGTCATTGCACTTACGTTTACCGTGGAAACGTAAAGGACAATGACCTGGTTAGATTATTCTCCGTATAGATACGTACTAGATTTTTATTTCTCATTGATTTTCGCTTTGGGTATTTTGCGTTTTAACAACTGGTCGGACTTTTTCATTTCTCTTTATAACTCTACCGTATGAATTTATCATAATGTTAAATATTGTTTCACTTGATTACGTTATCTTACGTTTATTGTCTTTTACAGAAATGACGATGTCGGTTTTCAAGATAGCAGCGATCCTGCTGCTGACATTTTCATCGATCAGTTTCGCTCGTTCGAACGTCGGGAGTTGGGAAGTCTGCGGTGGACGATTGGAACGTGCCCTAGATGCACTTCACAAAGACTCGAACAGAAGGAAAGGACTCGAAGAAGAGGAAGCGGGAACGTTTTACCAACAGAAACTCCGTTCTGTACCACTTGAGATGTCAGTCTCTCGGATTGCTGTCAAAGTAATATTTATTGCATCAATTGTTTATGTCGTAAATGAGGATTTAGAACAAGTTTTTGGATACCAAAACGAACGTTCAGCGTTTGTTAGTAAATTATTAATTTATTACTTTAAGTCAACTAGTTTACTGTGTATTCAAAAGAATATTACCATGAGAAAACTGTTAAAAAACTGCTTCGGGGAAAATTTTATATTTATCATACTTTATTATTAATGGAAAGCCTTAAACATTTATAATAATTTAATTAAACTTCTGTTGTTTTCTCTTTGTTAGCTGCCACAAGGAGCTAGAAACACCGGAAATCCATGGGCCAGAGTTGAGAAATGCATTTACGAGCCTAGCAATAATTCTCTTCAGACTCGAGTGATGCTCAATGATCTATCCGTTTCTGGGATAGTTTCGTTAATGCCGCGTGATCATCAACCACCTATACCAGCCGAGTCTTGCACAATGACTCTGAGATTACGACGAGCAGGTGTTGATTTTTTGACAAGTCCAATCGCTCGAGGCAGAGGACAAATGCGCATCCGAACGGAGTCCAGTTTCTTAGAACCCAGATTCGCTTCCATCTACGCTTATGGTTGCCACCCTACGCGTTTAGACAAGCAGATTAAAAGACAAGACAAATGGCCTCCTTTCTATCCACCTCGAGATGAGGTAAGTCATCTATTTCACTTATTTTAAAAGCTCATAACTTTTTTGATTTCATTTAATCTAACAACTTGTTTTAAAAGCTAGTAGAAATATTCAAATATTCATAGAAATCTTTTGTGAATGTATTTTGCGTGTGTCGTGCAAAGAAATAGCAATTAAATTTCAAAATATATTTAAAACATACATATGATACATATCTAAAGATTTTCTATGAAACTTCTAATATAGGTGCGCATTTTTATTTTTTAATTTTTATCGTTATACTAGTAAATAATACAAAATTTAACATGTTTGAAGCTAATATAATAATGAAATATTACATTTTTTGCAGTATGCGCTTCTATCTTTAGCACTGAACGACGACTATGAAGCAGCGGAACCACGTCAGTTGGTTGGTGTTTCTAAAGAAGTGGACGTTGTCATACCGAATGAAACGCGCCAATCTCGTATCGTGAGCACGCCCATTGCGAAATTAGGAATATGGAGAAAAAATGTTTGGCTGACTAAATCTCTACCAAGGGAAAAGCGTGCCCTGGTCAAATCCGACGTTGTCGCAAGTTCTTCAAGCGTTCGTCGCTTTCCAGGATCTTTCGAAAGTGGCCAGGAAGCCAGCAGTCATTCCATAAAGATATCCGCACAATCTGCGGAGACGATTACCCCTCAAGATTTCGCAACAGCTTTGATCAGTAAACGGTCAAAGAGCAACGAAACTGGCAACTGCACCGAGCAACATCAACGAACGAAACAAAGCGGCTTAAACAATGTAACTAAGATCCTTCCGAAGAACTTGGAGGACAGTGAATTAAAAACTAACGTTAAGAGAGAAAATAGCTATCAGATGACTGAAAACGACGCGCCAAAAGAGACTAGACATTTGTACATTGATGAAACATTAGACAATATTTTTCCAATTGATTTGGAGAATGACAGTAGAAACTGGCAGTCGAAGGAACACATTGCCAGAGAAATGGAGGATGTGTTCTTACGTGGTGCCAGTCAGGCTTTGACCAGATACATTGAGAAACAACTACACCCCGCTATTAAAGAAACACTTATGATTTCTATGGGATATACAATCAGTTATGGATAATGCTGTTTTCTCTTAACCGTACTATGGTCCACAAATTCTTACATTTTAGTTTTACACTCAGTTTAGTAAGAATGAATCGTAGTTCTTTAAGGTGTTTATTAAAATTAAATTGATAGTTTAGAAATTGTAAAAACTGTGTTAATAAGGATCTTTTCATATTTCATTTAAGCTTGAGATATTTGTAAATTGTATTAATAAGGATCTTTTCATATTTCACTTAAGCTTGAGATATTTGTAAATTGTATTAATAAGGATCTTTTCATATTTCACTTAAGCTTGAGATATTTGTAAATTTTAAAGAAATACAAATGAGTTGAAAATAACTGAAAGAACACAGGAATTAATAAGAATTTGTTATAACATAAAATTTCTAGGAAATTTGTAGATATAGTAGAAATTCATGCGAATACAATATTGTTGCAACTTTAATTTCTAGTCTTTAATGTTCTAGAAAAGTGAAATTATAAAGATTTTACTTTAAAATTTTGTCCTTTTACATAAATCGAAATGTTGCTCATATTTTTGTGATTGATGTATGCATTTCTTAGATCCAATTGTGAATCATGAATTATTCTACAAGTGTTCGTAATAATTAAATAAATTGTAATATAATATCAATTAAGAGAAAAAAAGTATATTAGTTGATAGAAATACATTTATTGTAGCAGAATTAAGATTAATTGACAATTGTAACTGTATTTTATTGGTTTTTATTAAATAAACTAAATTTAAGCGAAATTCAACAGTTTTATTATTTAACCCTAACTCTACAAAATATTTGAAACCAAATTAACAAATCAATGCTAGCAAAAAAAAAAAAAACGAAAATTGCAAAAATTTCAAGAAGTTGATGCTCCAGTTAGACTTATGCAATTGTGAAAGATCACAAATTAATCCTCGTAATTAGTTTTTTTGCAAGCAAAAATTTGTTAATTAGTGAATATTCGAAAAGTATCTCTGAACGTATTACACACACGATGGTGCTGTTCTACTGTATCGGTTTGGAGCCAGAAACTCGGAAATGTAACAGGAATATAGAATATGCAAAGAGGTATCCGAATTACTGTTAGACAAGAACCGCAATACTAAGCAACAAGGACAGACATTTATATCTCTTTCCAAACTTTGGAATATTCTCTAATTACTCGATTTTCAGAAATAATTCGTACACTTTCAGGATAAAAGAATAAAGTGCAGACCTCAAGCAACATTCCTATACAATTTTTGATACAATTTTTTGTTCAACTAATTAGTTATAAACGATTGTTTCAACAAGGGTCTGGGCTTTCGTAACGCATATATACGATTTTTCATTACTATCGGTCTTTCACGATCTTACAGCCCGCTTTTAGACATCGCAGAAGCTTCCTTCGAGCTCTGTACTTTACATTCCATGCACAAAGACTGTTAATTAATTACGTGTTAACTCAAATTATGCAAAAATTCATTGTATCGACCCTCCGTAGTAACGGGCCGTCGTGCAATAATTATTAATAACTAACACTGTAGGCCACAATTCCGATATAAAACTACATGTGAATATTGCTTGTAATCTGGTTTGCATTCCACGATCGCAAAAGTGCACAATTTTCTCATAAAAATTAAATTATTAGTGAATATTCAATAAATTAGACAAAAAGGTACAGCTGTTCTTGTCACTCGATCGTGCTGTTCTTTTCTGCAATTAAGTGCTGCCATCTGTTGGAGTGCGAAAACTAGGACTGAAAAATTGGAAATGTAACAGGAACATAGAATATAAACAGAGGTATCTCGACTACTGTTAGACAAGAAGCGAAATACTGTGCAAAAAGGACAGACATACGTGACGTAGGCAGAGAAGGAGAGCACTATCAACCGACAAGGACAGACATATTTCTCTTTCTAATCCGTTGATTACTTGCTAATTACTCGATTTTCAGAAAGAATTCGTGCATCTTTGAGATAAAAGAATAACGTGCAGATCTCAAGCAACATTCCTATTCAGTTTTTGATGCGATTTTTTGTTTCATTAATTAATTATGAACCTTTTGTTTCATCAAGTGCCTAGGCCTACGCGTGACTGTAATATGCATGACGACGATCTGTCATTCGTAATGAGCTCTTGCAACATTAAAACTCGTTATTTGGAATCGTGGAAGCTTCCTTAGACTCCCTACTCTCTATTCTCTGTACAAATATTATTAATTAACCGTCTGTAAATCCAAATTATGCGAAAATTCATCGCGTCGATTCTCCGTGGCAAAGCAGCACAGCGGATTGTCGTGCAATAATCATTAACAACTGTTAATTTAAGCAACAATTCTCATACAAAACTATATGTGAATGTCGCTTGTAGTCTGGTTTTTCTTCCACGACCCCAAATGTGCATAATTTCCCCCTAGAAATCGAATAATTAATAAATATTCAATGAATTGGACAGAAAAGTACACGTATCCTTGTCACGTGACGTTGCTGCTCCTTTCTATACTCGAGTGCTGCCATCTATCGGAGTGGCAAAACTTGGACCGAAAACTTGGAAATGTAACAGGAACATAGGATATAAACAGAGGTATCTCGACTACTGTTAGACAAGAAGCGCAATACTGTGCAAAAAGGACAGACATACGTGACGTTGGCAGAGAAGGAGGGCCCTATCGAACGACAAGGACAGACATATTTCTCTCTCTAATCCGTTGATTATTCGCTAATTACTCGATTTTCAGGAACAATTTGTGCATCTTTGAGATAAAAGAATAACGTGCAGATCTCAAGCAACATTCCTATACAGTTTTTGGTACGATTTTTTGTTTCATTAATTAATTATAAACCTTTTGTTTCATCAAGTGCCTAGGCCTACGCGTGACTGTAATATGCATGACGACGATCTGTCATTCGTAATGAGCTCT